TTTCTGTTTTGCGTTGCAAACTTAGCTTCCTCTTCTTCCTCTGTGCGAAATGCATCAGGCGATTCGATAAATTGCAATTTATCGATTGATCCAGCTTGGCCAGTGTTGCAAAGCATCAGAGCGGCGGACAATTTAAAATCATTACAATCAATATTAATTGAGTTAGTCAGCTTATTGGCCTTTTATCAAGTGATAAAATCAAAGAGCAATTAATCATATGCTTAGAGAATTAACTTTTTACTTACATATTTGAAAGATAACCAGCTATAATGAATTTTATTTTCAATGATTTGTTTCAGTTTTGAATGCATGAGCCGTAGCACTCAATAAATGCTGCTAATTGAAGAAATTATTTTAGTAAATTTCATTTTATTTCGTGACACGAGAACGAAGAAGAATTTTCGTGCGTGTCCGTGCAAAGCGCCTAATCACGACTTTCCTGAACTTGGGAAAAATCAATGTACCAAATCAAATGAAATGTAATTAACAATTAAAAACATAAAAACAAATAAAACGCATTGAAACGCTGGCAAGCTGGAAAGATATGCGCTATCGACTCAAATCCAGACAGGAACTCGAAATCTTAGGCACGAGTTCTCCGATTCTGGGTCGGGCCGGGCCACAAAAGTCCAGTTCCTGCCCAAATCTATGGATATATGAAGCTTACATAACTGGACTTATGCCTATATTTTACATTGTTATTGCACAGAAACATTGACAACAAAATGTTTGTTATATATTTTATTTTTTGATTACTAAATTCTTAGAACTTTATTCAAAATTATCATTCTCATTCTTATACTCATTTTAACTGGCTTACATTCATCCATCATGCAACGTTCTCGTCGAGCTTGCGGGCCGTGTGATCTGGTCGCAGAGCACACAAACGCCACAAACGCAATGCGAGCTAATTTTAGTAGACACTGTGTCCATTACATCCATCTGCATAATTATCAGCATGATCAACTTATAAATATACATGTTATATTGTTTGTATTTTTCTTTTGTTTGTTGTATACTCGTATATGTATAAAAAGAATAATTATATTAATTAATTAATTAATAATAAACACACAATTTCATTGCAAAAAATTTCTACAATACGTAATTAAATACGGATACGTCCTGATCGTTGGTATTGCCACCGCCACCGCCTCCTCCGCCGCCGCCGCCGCCGCGATTCGATGAGCCCGACGATTTGTTGGAGCCATGCGCTGCAATGGTCAGCTGATTGGTCTGATGTATGACAGAGGTGATGTCGCTTTGCGATGCGGATATATCCTTGCTGGTGAGCACATCGGAGCTGCTCGAACCGGACGAGATGTGACGCTCAGCAATGCCGTACTGTATCGGCTGATAGCCGTGACTTGGATTGTACGTGGCCGAGTATGGCATATAGATCGGCGGATTTGGCAGCGGTCCAATATCGCTGGTAATGCTCTCCGTATCGGCATGGCTCAGTGCATGCGCCAGCGGATGCAACTGGGCACGCATATTGGGATTGCGCTCCTCGTTTACAACATAGTAGCACTGCTCGGAGAAGGTCAGCTTGTTGACCGTGTGCTTAATGTAATTGTTGCGCAGCATCGCTGAGACAATGCGGCGTGCCTCGCGCCGATCCTGGACATCCTCAACGTTCTCCAGCACCCAATTGACCGCATCGGCGCCAATGAACGCATTTGGTATGGTTATCTTTAGCCACATGCGATCGCGTATCTCGAGGCCGCTGTCCGGCTTTGTCATGGCCTTAACAATCTCCTCGAGATTGTTTTGATCGAGCCGCTCCTTAATTGGCTCCGGTATGTCTGCCATAATACTGTCGTGCGATGTCAGCGCCTGTGTGTGCGCCACCCATGCGCCAGGATCAATCGGCCGCACCGGCTCCGTGCGTGGTATGGTAAAATAACCCTTCGGATTTGGATCCCAACATTTGGCCACCACCAATTTAATGGGTCCCGGCTTCTGGACCACCTCACGCAATACACGCACCGCCTCGTCATTGGTCATATTCTCAAAATTAACATCGTTCACCTGCAATATCATGTCACCCGGCTCGATGCGTCCATCCAAGGCGACAGCGCCGCCCTTCATGATGCTGCCCACATAAATGCCGCCATCGCCGCCGCGATTCGACTGACCGACAATCGATATGCCCAGAAAATTAACTGCCTCCATATTAATCGAAACGGTTATAATGTTCAGCGACATTGTTGAGTCCGTTATGGAGCTGTATGAGGATGTGCGCGACATGCTGGGCGCACGCTTTTTGCGACGTTGCGGCTTCTTGCGCACCTGCAGCCGTTGCACGCTGCTATAGTCGGTCATATCCCGGTCCAGTGTTAGCTCCGATTCGGTGCCAAAGAGGCTCGTCGAGTCCAGATCGCTGGACAGCACCGAGGCCGATTGATATGTGAGTGGCGGCGGTTGCAGCATTTGCAAGGGTCCCAGCTTATGTTGTTGCTGTAGCTGCTGTTGTTGTTGTTGCTGCTGCTGCTGTTGGTGTTGTTGTTGTTGCTGCTGCTGCTGATGTTGTTGCTGTTGTTGTTGTTGTTGCTGCAGTGCCAAATGACTACGCACACGCATCTCGCATTCGCTGGGCGGCAGCTCGGAGCAATTATCGGACTGGTTGGTGCCATCGGCCGAGACCAGCCAGGAGACGACGCGTCCATTGAAGCAAGGCAGTATTGTGGCATCGTCGGCGATTTCCTCTTTGACCACACCAAAGTCGGCGTCCATTGACTTGAAGAAGTATTTGTAATTGTTGTTCTGTTTATTGAGCACCATTTTAAAGTCTTTGAGTGTGACCTGAGCGGAGGGTATCAGTATTTTAACCAAATACGGTGTGCTCTCATCGTCAATATGATAAATGACTTTTGTCTCTTGGCTATTTGGTCTCTCTGTATCCATTGTTGATTAATTAAATTCGTTAGAAATTGTATCGAATTGTTCTATTGTATACGTATTCTCAACTATAGTTATATATTTATAGTCTACACTTTTTCGTTACACACACAAATTTTCGGTGTATTTTTTCTTTCCTTTTTACTTTTTACATGTATGTACTCCTCTCGCTTATGCTTTTTGGGTTGGGTTGTCAATGGAGCCGCAGCAGCTCTCCGCCTCCTTCATTTGTATATGGCGTTCCACTGCTTTAATTGCAGCTCATCAATGCTTTTCAAGCATTTGTATGCGTTTTTTTTTTTGTTCGTACACTTTGCAATATTGTGTACAACTCTCTTTGGGCGTTTAAATTTATAATTTTGGGGAGACAAAATATATATATATAGGTAAATAATTGACAGCGCTAGACTGATATCGATACACGTATCGAACCAGGGATGCTGCCACGCTTGCCAAGCACAAAAGACAAATTATACTTGTGCGATAGTTATCGGGGCAAATTTATTGATAAGCATTAAAATGAGCAAAAATGATGCACAGGCCAGATTAGTGTTTTGCAATCGTTTTTATTATATAAGAAACATCTATTTTGAAGCAACACCATAAGTTGTATATATCCGAATCGATTTATTTCTTTTCTCAACCATAAATTGTTATCGATTGATTGGATCAATGCTAAGGAAACAAGTGTGTACATATTCTTTTTTTAGCTAAATATTTGTAATGGCATATATATGCATCAATATCAAATAGAAACCAATTGAATTTTTGATATGTTCTAAGTGTGGACACACTGGCCCAGTTTAGTCGATTTTAATTTTTTAAGGTAATTACAAAGGTTACCAAGCCGAGCATTTACTTAAATGATTAGCAAAGTTCCCAAAACAAATCGTTTTGAAGAACAAATCTTTTTCAGCCTTCAATTTTTTTTTTGTTCCGCGCAAAGCAAATTGAACTAAATCATTCGTTTGAAATGACAAACAATTTAACGAACTTGGGATATTTTTTATACATATTTTTTTAATTAGGAAATTAACACAAGCAATATAAACAAACAAATGTTAGTATTTACTAATAACTGATATTCAAATTACTATCAAATGCAATCTATTCTATAACCGAATTTAAAAAGAACTCATGTACATCAATTTACATAATAATAAAATTAAATCATTTTATTGATTACACCTTTCATTGCTTTACATAGAAATAAAATTAAATATTTTTATTGATTACAGTTTTTTTCGCTTTACATAGAAATAAAATTAATATATTATTTGTATTTGTATTATTAATATTATTATTATTATTACACCAGGCATTCGGGTGCACGTTATTTATTGTATAAATCAACTAAACATTATTTTCGTTTGCAAATTAAAAAGTGATATTTTTGTTTTTCAAAACTCTCTTTATGCCTACACATATATAATATATCATGTAAAATTATTTTAAAATTATAGATTTCACATCAAAAGTCTTCGTCCGAGCGGCATGCAACGTTTTTTTTCCACACATCCAGTTTGTAAACAATTTGCAATAGCCATAATTTAGTATATAAAGTTCGGGGATTTGGACCCATGATTGGGTATAGTGAAGTTTACCTTTAAATCTTTTAGTTTTTGTTTTGTTTTTATTACATTAATGTAGATATAACGAACAGCTAAAATAACTATTACGCTAAAGTAACTATTACAACTAATTTAAATCGAATAAAAAAAAAAAAAATAGATTATAGGTAATCCAAAAAAATATACATATAATATATATATGCATGCGTGTGTCTATGTGTGTATGTGTGTGTGTGTGTGTTTGTGTGTAGGTATGTAAGCAATTCGCTCAAGTGCCCTACTTTGTATACATACTTATGAAGAGTATGTACCCATGGATCCTTACATCCCTACATACCCAGCCAGCCAAGCTGATGCTTATTACTTGGACGTGACCATTTCAACGAGATCGCTGGATAGGGCCAGCGAGTCTACAATATCTATTAGTATCTCGACATCCTTTACAGAGTTAACCACCTCGGGTGCGCCCAGCAAATTGACGTGCTTGCCCTCAATGTTGGCATAGAAGCATTTGTTTTTGAAGATAATGGCACGATCGAACGGCACACGGCATTTGCTGCGATCGAGCACGGAGCGCCGAAAGAGCACGCATGATGGCTGATATTTGTGGCGCTCCTCTTCGGGTATATTATAGGTTTTTAGATCACCAGTAAATATGGTCATTGTCTGGCGCTGCATAAGCGACGGCGACAGCTTATAGAGGGTCACCTTGCTGGTCCATTTGGTGGAGGGCACCTTGATGCGTGCGGCAACATTTGCCAGCTTGACCAGCGGCAATTCGAGGCAGGTGCGTTGCTGGCGTGTCTTGCTCGATGGCTCTTTGGGCGTGCTAATCACATGCCAGGTCTCATAGCAGGTGATCTTCTTGACAAGGCGTCCATCCTCCTGACAGTATGTGGTTGTCTCCGGTGGAAAGTATTTTGGCTGTTTGGCCTCCGTTTCGGGTTCAGCTGTTGCCGTGGCTGCCTCCTCATCCGTTGCATTCTCCTTGTACCGACGTTGTGATGGCGTTGATGTAGACGGACTTGCCGGCTTCTTAAATACATCATCGTCGCTGCTCTCGCCCAGCAGCTTGGTTAGCTTACGATCTGGGCCACTTGACAGTTGTTGTTGTTGTTGTTGGTGGTGGTGGTGGTGCTGCTGCTGCTGTTGCTGATGATGTCTTTGATTATTGCTGGCATTCACCGACGTTGTCGTTGATAGCACATGGCGTCGATTGGGTAACCATTTAGCAGTCTGCACACGTCGCACCACGCGCGCCTGATTGGTTGTTGCTGGAGGTGGTGATGCGTGCATGTCATCCTCAGCCAGCTCATTGGATATATCCTCATCCTCGGTATCGCCGCCATCGGTCATGGGACAGAGCTCCTTGCCCATGCTCATTAGCGGCTTCATCATTGGCTGCGTCTTTTTACCCATTTCAGCATTCAGAATGCGCGGTCGCGGTTTCGTTTGACCCACAGAGACGACCAGCGACGTCTGTTTGTTATGATTGAGCGCCAACGTGTGCTTGTTGGTGGTCGTTCCTGCTGATGCAGTTGTTGTTGCTGTTCCTGTTCCTGTTGTTACTGTTGCTGCTTTGAGCCGCTTGTTGGTTGAGCTTGCGGTTAAATTATTGCCTGACGTGCTGCTGCTGTTCCTGCTGCTGCCGATTGCTACTGTGGGGGAGGACGTGGATTGATTTGTGCGCGAGCTGTTGTTGTTGCTGCGCGCTGCGGTCAACAATTTTTTGCCGCCGCTATTGCTGTTGGAGGAGCGCGTAATAAGCACATCGTCTTGATTTATAATGTCATCAATGTTAACGATTGTGAACGTGGGCACATCGTCATTTTCTGTTGATTTCATAGATGCTGCCGCTGCACTCACGGCCGTTGCTGCCTTTTGCACTTTGAGTGCATTTGTCGAGCTGGGCGGACGGCCCACAATACCCGTACGCGGCACTGCAGCACCGCCAGCGTTCCGTGCTGTCGCTGTAGCCGTGCTCAGCTTGAAGTTGGATGCTGGCCGTGGTTTGGCTGCCGTTGTTTGCATCATACGCAGCCCACTGCCACTGCCACTGCCACTGTTGTTGTTGTTACTACTGCTGCTGGTGCTGCCCACGACAACCTTTGGCTTGGCCTGATTGCTGGCCAGACTAATGGCAGACGCTTTGGCCACAGAAGTGCTGCCATTGATAGCTGGCGCCGAGCGAGCAACGCCGCCAGCTTCAGTGGCCATACGTTTGCGTGCTATTGGCGTATCATTGGCATCCTCTAGCTTGCGTTTGTTGCCCACCGTTGGAGTTGCCATCACTTTCATGTGGGATCGCGCCAAATTGGGCGCGATTGTGCGACGCAGCTGCTGCAAATGCGTGACACCGCCGCGGCCGGTTTGAGTGGAGCCCCGTCCGGCTTGGGATGGGGTATTGCTAGAAGCTGTTGCTGCACTGGCCGATTTCGGTGGACGTCCACGTCCGCGCTTTGGTGGCACCTTCTCGCGTCGCAATTGCAGCTCAAAGTCCTGCTCACTGATGTCATCATCGTCATCGGACTTGTGCAGCTGTGGATTAAATGCCGCATCGGCCAGCTCATCATCGTTATCCTCCTCAATCAGATCGTGCATATCCTCATCCTCGTCATCATCATTGGCGAATAGGTGCTTAACCGACCGTTTGTTGGTATTTTCGCTGGCCAGGGCAGCCACATACTTTGGCGTTACCATGTCATCGCTGGCGTATTTCGGATTCGGCTTGATGGAGCGACGCGAGCGGCTAGCCGCAATCGTTGGCGGCGGCGTTGCCACTGCCGTTGCGGCAATTTTCGACTGTTTGTACATTTTTGTTTTGTTTGGCTCGCTAACGATATCTCGGGTCGTCGTGTCGCGCCGCTTGCTAAGCGGTGTGCACGTCCCGGCCACGGGTAATATTAGCGCTGTGTTGCGCCGCTTGCTCAATGGTGTTGCCACCGCCTTGACCTGTTGTTTCGTTGTTGTCTTCGCAGCTGCCCTTGGTATGGTCGTTGGTTCGCCTTTGGCGTTGCGAGTGCGTGTGGCAATTGGAGTTGCGCCTACAACGGCGGTCTGTTTGATCTTCGGCAACAGCTCGACGTTTGCAATGGTCGTGGCGCGTCGAGAGGTGCGCGTCGCTCGCGGTTTATCTCGTTCCTGCTCCAACTCGTTTTCTATATGTGTTCGCCTGGTCGGTTGTTTAGCTGCGGCGATGCGCCCTTTTTTTGTTGGTTTACTGGATGTTGCCGCGTTGATTATGTCGGTGGCTTCAGATTCCTTTAGATTTTTTACGTATACAATGCACGGTCGAGTCTTTCCTATCTCAGCTTCCGTTTTTTTTCCAGCTCGCATCTTTCAGTAGTCACTGCAATTGATTAAGAATGGTGTAAACTACTTGTAATCGCAAATACAGAAATAAAAACAAAACAAAATCCAAAACATAGCGTAGTGGCAACACGGGCTGTGTTAATTAGAGATGAGCGTCAAATTGCTGCGTGAATGCATTCAAATTAGCTCATCATGTATGCACACATACATTTTTCTATTATTTCTTTTTAAGCTTTAATAATATATAAATGTATTTATATTAAGGTAGATGAAAGTGTAGCGGAAATTGATTTTGTATATAATAAATATATTTACTATTTTTGTTTGTGTGTTTAAACATCTCGTGCTTATTTTGTGTTAAAAGCACGCGTCACGTGCTCCTCCCTATTCTGATTGCGCGACAACTCTGGCGCCCATTTTGGTCATTTTTGGTGCTCTATTAGCAACTACGCTGATTTTTGCGCGCCAGTTGTATGTACATACGCATACATATATCTAATATTAATATATAACTATGTACGTATGTTTAGTTTGTGGTGCATATAAGTTTGATTTTTTTAATATTCAATTTTATGATTTCATTATGCGTGTCTGCATTTAACATTCGTCCCGCACTTACATTTAAATGGTTTTACATTTTTCGGTTCTGTCTTTTAATAAACGACTTTGTGATTTCCGTTTCGGACACTTTCACTGCACTGCGTTCGATTGCGTTCGACAAGACGTCCCTGTTTGTGAATAATATCAGCAAATTGGCAACGCCATTCATTTTCATTTGCATTGATTTGCAGTAGAATTATTTTGCTTGATCTACGTGATAGCAGCCAGCAATAACATAATACCAATTTGTTTTGTTTTGTTAAGTTCTGTTGCTCGCTTTGCTTGCCTTTACATTTGCTGTGGAACTCATAAATTTGTGCGGCGCTGCCAGGCCAGCAATGTTTTTCTACCCAACTGTACCACACATACACGCACAAACAGAGCTGCTACCCCGTGGCTTGCGCCTTGCAACAAATCGTATAGTTTGTTTTTATCTTAGTTTTTGTTGCTGTTTAACACAAATAATTTATAACACATATGCAATAAAAAATTATATTTTACTTGGATCTGCTTTTTGCAATGACAAATTGGATGCAAAACTATGGAAATATCACTTCCCGCGCTCAATATTTTCGATGTCGATTAACCAGAACAGCACAGCACTGCCACTCGCCATGAAATTGTGAAGAGAAATAGAAGTGAAAAGAGGAGAGAGCGAGTGCAAAAATATATGAGGAAAATAGGGCTGCTAACTGGCTCGAAAATGTAGCGCGCTGCTAACTCTGGTTAACAGGTGGGCATGCCCTTGTAGCATGTCCAATATACACACAAATGCGTATATGTATATATATTTATATGTATATATACATATATATATAGATATATATTGTATGTTTGTCTGTATGCACGCATATATGTACATATATCATGTGGATTGTTTTGTTCTATTCCTGTGCATATATTTTCGTATTACCATTTATTATACATATATGTATTTTAATTAATTACATTTCTTTTTAGGGCTGATCGCACGTTAACATTATTCTACTACTTCAATGCAGATGGCTGTGGGCAGCGATATTTGGCCATTTCGACCTCTGCCTCAGCAAAACTGAACCGATTGAAACAAAAATATTCGGGAACTTTGTAGCCGCTAGTTGGCGAGGCTCCAGGACCAACTGGTGTCGATGTTGGCTTCACACAAGCGCTGCTAAGGCCCGTAACATTGCTAACGGGAGCTGCACTAGGTGCTTCGCCGACTTTGCTGCTGCTGGATGGGGGCCTTGGAACACCTGCGCCTTTTTTTGACTGGCTGTAGCCTCGTCGTAGTAGCTGGTTAAGTGCGGCGCGTGGGGCTGCGTTCATTTTTATGACAAATCGAACACAAATCTAACTTCAAACAGAATTCACGTAATCGCACGACTGACCAAATTATCAAGTGCAAAATAAAAAAAACAACAAGAACATATGGTTTGTAAAAGATTGGCAGCCCTAGGCTGGCCACGGGGTTGCCATTTATTCCAAAAAGTCAGCCAACACTTATCTAGCACACATACATACATACGCCTAACTAGATTCGTGTGTATTATGTTGTTTATAGCATTAAACAATTACCCACCAACCCATTGAAATGCAAATACGATTTAGTTTAGGCTAGTTTAATTTCGCTTCTTAAATTTGGGCTGCGCTTTGCCATAGTGCTGGCCTATATTGGCAACTGGCGCACGCCGTTTTTGTTTAGTTTTATTGTTGCACTTGACACTGGCCGCACCAGTTTGATTCTTGCCCAATTGATGGAATTTCTTGCGCTCCTCGCGCGTGTCCTTTAGACGCTTGCGTTCTGCCTTCAATTCCTTGTAGTTTTTATATGCCTTCTTCGGTGGCTTGGCGCCAAGTTTGATCAGCTGAAATATTTCCATTTTTCGTTTGTTTTTGATGGTCCGCTGATTGGCAATGGCAAAGTTAAGAACTTCTTGGCGTGCTTTTTTTATGTCAAATTCGTTGTCTTCTCCTTTCTTAAGCTTGCCACCGTCTGTTCTTTTGTCATCTTTCACAGTATCATTTGTTGTTTTCTCTTGTTTATTATTTGGAAGTGCAGCTTGCGGTTCTTGAAACACCAGAGCCTTAAATTCCGAATCATCCTGAGTTTTTTTCAATGCAAGCGCGGCGCGTGTCAAAACGGGCTTAAAATCTGTGCTGGCATTCATGTTGGCTAACTAAAAATTGTGCACAAATTACAAAAACTTTAAATGAATATTTAAACGCATATACATACATATGCACACATGTGCCAAGCAGCACTGAAATGTACTAAATATGGCCAAACGGATGATAAATCGTAAAACAAGTTGGCAACTCTTAAACTGCACGCTGCACGTTTTATTTTTGATAGCTGTATTTAATTTTGTTAGCTGTATTTAATTGTGAATAGTACCATTTCAATATTGCTGTAGTGCAATGAAACAACCATTAGCGAAAAAGTCAGCCCATATTGAGGATGTGGATGTGTCTGCCAAACGTACGAACGTGCCGGCTGAACTACAGCAAAAAGCCAATGCCTTCCTAAATTCCAGCAATGTCGATACAAAAGTTCTGCGCGAAATTGTTTATCTCTTGGTATGTTAATCAGATAGTAATATGTTTGCAATATACCTATAAATATCTATGGCCAATTTCAGGAAGAACCTGAGTGCAATGCCATTGGGGTAATGCACGTGCTTGAGGTTATCTTTAAGAATCTTCTCAAGCGCAAATGCATTTCGGCCGCCGAAAAGCAACAGGAAAAGACAAAGTCCAAGGGAAAGGCTAACCAGTCCAATGCCAAATGTCAAACACTCTATAACAAAGCGTGGTCCTTCCTGCTGGTTAGATTGGGCAGCGCCTCTAAGGAGGAATCTAGTGTTGCGCTCAAAGTATGCATGCAGCTTATATTAAGCGAATCAAAGTATATTTACTCCAATGCCTGGCCCAGGGAACGCCTGCGCAGTGTGCTAGAGACGCTGGTCAACTCGGAGACAACGCCACCAACGGCTGTGGCGGCATTCCAGAAATATGCCCGTTGCCTGGACGTGCTACAGATGACATATGAACTGTTGCCGGAACTGGCACCAAACATTTTTGCGGACTCACCAAATATGGCACTCAACTATTTGGCTATTATCAATTTGCTTGACTTGGGAAAGACTGTGCTGAATGCCAAGGAGTATCACATTGGGCCAGGCACTGACAAACAACCGAACTTTGAATACAACCAAACACGCAAACATTTGAATGCGGTTTGGAAGGGCATAATTGCATCGTGTAGTGGCGTGGATGAGAAGGTACATCGACAGGTGCTTGTTGTGCTGTTGGAACGTATACTACCGCATTTACAGGATCCCATATTGTTAACAGATTTTCTGATGGATTCACTTCATCAGTTTGGTAAGATTGTTAGAAAAAACTAAAGCAAACGCATACAACGTATATGTTTAATGATAGTATTCTTTATTTGAATTTAAATTTCGATTATGTTTTCGCAGATGGACCTATTGCCCTGCTTGCTCTCCAAGGAATCTTTACGCTGATGCAACAGCAGAATATTACGTATCCAGATGTCTATCAGAAGCTCTATAATATGTTCTATCCACGAATGTTCTACAACAAGTACAAAGCTCGCCTCTTTTATTTGGCCGATATATTTTTAACCTCAACGCACTTGCCGGAAAATCTGGTGGCCGCTTTTGTTAAACGTTTGGCCAGACTCGCACTGAAAAGTCCAACAGAGGATGCTATTATAATGATACGCTTCATATGCAATCTACTGCTGCGGCACACAGGCTTGCAGCGTCTCATTTGTGCAACAGGTGCCGCAAGCGGTAAACAATATGAAAATATGTTAAAACGTGCAGGATGTCATTTAGATTGTATTGCATTTGCAGCTGTGGAGATATCCGATCCCTACGATGAAACGGAACTGGATCCGGTCAAAGCAGGCGCCCTAAAAAGCTCCCTCTGGGAGATGTCATTGTTGCAGAAGCACGCGGTGCCCGAAGTGGCCAATGCTGCACGTTTCGTATCCAAAAGTTTGCCCGTAGTTGAATTTGATCTATCTGCGCTGCTGGAAATGAAGGAATGTGACGTAAGTGACAATTTTTACATTAGCTCATTTTTATGCCACATTTCAATTTTGGTTACCCTTGAGTGTTTTAGAACACAGATAGGTTTTCAAAACTAAAGGTTTATTCATAGGATGGGTATTTTTGTACGGAAAAGCATTTACTTTCTATGGCTTTAGGTTTGCACTGTTCTCACAATGAAGATTTTTGTTATTTTCTATATCGATCGATTGTTTATTGTGTGCACGCTTAAATGCAGTTTTTAAGAAATTCCGCCTGCAGCTGTAAAAAGTTGGTGGAAAAAGCTTGCATGAAATTTTTTGTGGGCCATCCGAACGAGCTGAAACATGTTTTTCAAGAAGTCTGCCAAATTTTTGTTGTGAAAGTCCATTCCACAGGGGTGATATATGGGAAAAAGATTTAAGCAATTCAAGCAAGGATTTTGGAAGTTCCAGCCCACCGGAGTAAAATGGATGGAAACCCTTGGATAACCGCCGGTTCAACTCTAAACTAATTATCTATGTTAATTATAATTTAAATATTATATATTTAAATATCTCACTGTTGCGAATTGCTGGAAAAGTGATGTGTAAAATTGGATGAACATATGTTGGCCACGCAAAGCCGGCTTGTAGGCGCTAGCGAAATATAAAGGAATTATTTCATAATTTTGGATACATTTTTGAAAGTGCAAACCCTAATTGTTTTAAACAAATCCCTAATGCTGAGGTATTTTAAAATATTATGTTTCAAATGGAGTTCGTGCCTAATTAAATTTATTAAAAATATATTTACCAACTCAAATGGATGATAGTGAACACAACCAAGCATAAAAATAACAACTATTTATTTTATTATTATAAAATATGAAGTGCATAAATTGAACAGCCTTTTTTATATAGGCTAACAAATGTAAATATTTTTTATAAACTTTTCAAATTTTAAGCATTTTTTTGTGGAAACTAATTTATACTCTTTGTCCAACTTGCCAGATATTTGACGATGAGGTGAAAAAGGAAGTGAATCACTTTACGCTGGGCTACGAGCGGCCAACAAATTTTGCTCTGCCACAAAATGATATTGTTACCAAATACTGGGATATAATTTAGAGTATAACAAAATATATATAATTAAATTAATATAACAAAAGTGTATGTGCCTGTTATGTGTATACTTCAAAGACGGACTGTATTCCTGGACCGGTTCCGTTTTGAAACAATTGCCTGGTGAAATGCGCGCAAGATGCCCCAGATGATGCCGCTGCCTGTGTCGCCGCCACTGGTCCTGCAGCAACATGGTACTTACGTGCGCTTTTGGTCTTTTAATTGGAACCACAGCTGGAAGCTTGCTAGGAGGCGTCGCTGGCCCACCCCAGGGCAGCTCTAAGGTCGTCACTGGACCGGCCGTATGAGGGCAAAGAAGACGCACTCGGCTATCGAGAGAAAGCTGAAGCCCAGAAACAAGCCCATTAAACCACCAACGTTAACTGTGAATGCAAAGGAAAATGGAGGAAAATTCAATTCTCTCTGCGTGCGTGTGTGTGTGTTTTTTGTTTTGTTTTTGGTTTAGTATACCCTTGCAGAGGCTATTCTGATTTTGTTGGGACATTTCTAACGCTGAAACTCGACATTTGTAGATTTTTCTATTTGGCTTATGGGTCAGAAATTAGATAGTATAAATAATTATTGGTTTTAAACTAGCTTTGCTATTTTGTTTGAGATCTTCACTAGTTTATTTTGATATACCTTCAACAATACCTGACTGCTATATGATATGCATTGCTCTCAATATTCTGCGGATAATTGATTTGTAATTTCGATTTTTGTATAAAAAGGATGCAAATGGGGCTTAAGCCAAACAATTTCGAGCCTTTTCTTTTATAATAACCTTAAGCCCCAACCAGACTATGCCCAAAACGAACGTCAAACCGAAATCTATATCGAATCATATTTTTTTTTTTTATAAAAATTTTACTTTAAAATGCACATTTTTGGATGGAGACTTTTTCAAGAAGTAACCCAAAAACCAAATTGGATTTTTCAACCATGTCATGCCAGTTTTGCCATTATTTTTATAATAACGCGCAAAGAAATAATAAAAAAAAACTTGGATTGTGATTGTGGAATATAGGTCTACAAACCGTACTTCGAACCAGCTTGCCAGTTCGGCGTTTAAATCGTACTATATGCGCTTCTACTTGGGCTTGCGGTCCTAAAATATATATTTAAATGTATGGTTATACTAAAACTTATTCTGATTTTAAGATAAGTCAGCTATATATATCAAGTACTCTTAAAGGCACAGTCGCCCAAAACAAAATAGAGATATGATTTTTAAAAAATAATTTTATGGCTGAACTGCCTGCAAGGGTATTTCGCTGTCGGCACGCCGAGAAGAACGTACATTTTTAACTCGTTGTCTTGCTACACACATAAAAAGTCCGATATGTCGATGAATTCGGTCTGTTTGATGGCACGAAATGTTTGCTCCTTGTAGTACAAATTGATCACGGCAATGTTGTGCTCCACATAGGCCTGGTTAAAGTTGCGCCCAGTGGTCTGAACGATTTTAAAGCCAACTTAGGAGATTTTGGTGGAGTAAGGGACCGCATTGAATTGTCCACACTGGCCCCGATGCCAATGCCAATTGTCTCTCCACGCATGCCCAGCGGCTCGCCGGTGCCGAGGATGGTAAAAACCATTATGCGACTGCTTCAACCTGCGGCTGTAACCCAGCTCCGCGTGGCAATCGATGGCATTGTCCACAAAAAATGATATATTCCCGATATGTGTATACTAAAGAAGAGTCCACATACCAAATCGGGTGTCGCTAGCTCTTGGAACGGCATTTTAAAATCGATATTTATCGCTGTGAGAGAAACGAAGCAAGTTATCGATGACGTAAAACTAATTTAATCCGCTTGGCAATAGCAGTAGCTAGGTTTAAGATTTGAAGTCACCAGCTCTTATGCTCTCTGAGATATCTGAGGGTATATGCCTTAGGATTTGGTATACCATAAATTTTTATATTGTATTTGTGTAAAATCCAAATGTATGTAACAGGCAGAAGGAAGCATCTCCGACCCCATAAAGTATATATATTCTTGATCAGCATCAATAGCCGAGTCGATCTAGCCATGTCCGTCTGTCTGTCTGTCCGTCTGTCTGTCTGTCCATCCGTCCGTCCGTATGTATGAACGCAAGGATCTCAGAACCTGTATGAGCTAGAGACTTGAAATTTTAGATGTAGGTGCTCCTAGTGCCTGCGGAGATCGAGTTTGTTTCCGATAATCGATAACTTACTCCGTTTCCAAGCAATCGATAAAAATCGATATCGATATCCTGTTTTTTGGGCAATTTAGGTAAATAAGAGAGCTAGAGTCACCAAACTTGACATATAGCTTCTAAAATAGAATATATATGTATATGCATTTGATTTTGGAAGAAGCGGGTTCAGGGTATCTCCTAGTCGGGAGCTCCCGACTAGAACCTCTTACTTGTTATACCCTGAACCCATTAAAAAAGGGTATAAGGGTATATTGTATTTGTGCGAAATCCAAATGTATGTAACAGGCAGAAGGAAGCATCTCCGACCCCATAAAGTATATATATTCTTGATCAGCATCAATAGTCGAGTCGATCTAGCCATGTCCGTCTGTCTGTCTGTCCGTCTGTCTGTCTGTCCGTCCGTCCGTCTGTATGTATGAACGCAAGGATCTCAGGACCTATAAGAGCTAGAGGCTTGAAATTTTCGATGTAGGTGCTCCTAGTGCCTGCGCAGATCGAGTTTGTTTCCGATAATCGATAACTTACTCCGTTTCCAAGCAATCGATAAAAATCGATATCGATATAATGTTTTTTGGGCAATTTAGGTAAATAATAAGAGCTAGAGTCACTAAAATTGACATAAAGCTTCTAAAATAGAATATATATGTATATGCATTTGATTTTGGAAGAAGAGGGTTCAGGGTATCTCCTAGTCGGGAGCTCCCGACTAGAACCTCTTACTTGTTATACCCTGAACCCATTAAAAAAGGGTATAAGGGTATATTGTATTTGTGCGAAATCCAAATGTATGTAACAGGCAGAAGGAAGCATCTCCGACCCCATATAGTATATATATTCTTGATCAGCATCAATAGCCGAGTCAATCTAGCCATGTCCGTATGTCTTTCCGTCCGTCCGTCCGTCCGTATGTATGAACGCAAGGATCTCAGAACCTATAAGAGCTAGAGACTTAAAATTATAGATTTAGATGCTCCTAGTTCCCGCGCAGATCGAGTTTGTTTCCGATAATCGATAACTTACTCCGTTTCCAAGCAATCGATAAAAATCGATATCGGTATCCTGTTTTTTGGGCAATTTAGGTAAATAATAAGAGCTAGAGTCACTAAAATTGACATATAGCTTCTAAAACAGAATATATATATGCATTTGATTTTGGAAGAAGCGGGTTCAGGGTATCTCCTAGTCGGGAGCTCCCGACTAGAACCTCTTACTTGTTTATTATTGATTTGTGAAGGATAGTATGGAAATCTTTTATATTTATGAGGATATTTTGAAAAAACTCAGCAATTACGAGCTTCTGTTAGTTTTCTCTATAAACGTTACCTGCCCGTGGTGTGTAGCTAGCGACTGTTGATGTACTTAGGTCCATGTAGGCTAGTGTTGCGAAAAAATACATCCCTATTGCATGCCAGCTAGTTGCGGCAGCTCTAACGGTTGCTTGGCGTACTGAAGCTGCGCCTGTTCAACGATGCCGAGTGTGGGCCAATGCCCTCGACGCCTTCAGGTGGGCGACACCTGGCGAGGCAGCCGCATGTTGAGGCACTTTGCAACTGGTCGTGAATTTGTAAGTCCTTGTGTGTTCTACTTGTTTGCCATGTTTTATTTATATTTATTTTTGTTGTCGTTCCTTTATTTTGCTTATCCACTGTCACGCTTGGCTGGTCTGCACATTTGTCGTGTCGATAATAAAAAGTGAACAACAAATATTTTATAATTGAATAAATACAAATTAACATACAGATTAGGGAAAATGATTTAATAACAAATTTATTAATTTGGCCTAAAATATTTGGAAACATTTTAAATATACGTTTTATGTATGCAATTATCATTGGAAAGCATTTACAGTGGGCGTGAATTTATGAAAATCGCATAGAAAGGTGATATTTAAAAGGCTAAGAATATGTCAGTGAGTTAGAGGGATAGAGAAAATAAGATCAAGAAGGAATAGAAAGAGATGAATGAGGAAATAAGTTGTCGGACAAAATCTGTTAAAGAATATAAAATTGAATAAGATTGAGAGTTAGACAGACTAAGTGCAAGTTTCAGTTACAATTGAAATGATTATTTAAAAGAATTACTTTACGAAAGAAAACAAGACTAAGAACACTTTTAAAACCCTATCGCATAGAAAGGCTATGTTTTTGAGGTGGATAGAAGTTACAAGAAAAGTGTGCTTCAATTGGAATATGAGAATGCACATGTCGAATTTGCTGTCTCTAGTCGCTCTCAGATCTAGTTGTTCACCCTGAAAGACAGACAGACAGACGTACTGACTAGACCTCGACTAGAGCTTCATGCAGAGCGTATTCTAAATGAGTGCTCGGTTTTGCCCTTATGATTTTTTTTGTTGTATAACTTTGGGCCAGCTGTAATTAAGATGTGTGTTGGTTCGCTCATTAGAGCGCAACGTGCGGCTGGTCAGAAGCAGAAACAGCTCAAGTTCAATGCAACCAACAAAGCCGAATTGAGTTCCGAACTTAGTGCTAACACACTCACACTCACAAATACACACACACACACACACACACACACACACACACACACACACACACACACACACACACACACACACACACACACACACACACACACACACACACACACACACACACACACACACACACACACACACACACACACACACACACACACACACACACACACACACACACACACACACACACACACACACACACATAGAGCAAGGACTTTGGATAGGTAGGAAAACCGCACTTGAACGAAAATCAAATTAAAAGCTTCAATGCCCCAGACACAGACGGGTCGAGTCAGACCACGGCAGGTCAGGTTAAGCGTAGACATGGCTTCTGTAGCCACATGTCACCTGCAAG